TGTATTTACAAAGATTTTTTTTAGAAATTCCAATTATTTGCAGGCAAAATTCTAAATGAAATAATAACTGTTCAAAAACATTTTATTGAATCACTGTATTAAAAAATGTAATAAACAAATAATCCACCACTCTTCAATCAACGGAAAATTCGGACTGCAGCCATTCAAACACGTTTCGTATAATGACAACATCTATTCTTGAGTCTTCAATTGCTAATTCAATTTGAGTGGCAGTCTCTTCGTCTGCCATATTATGTTCACTAGCAGGAATATTGCAATGGACGACCTTATGTTTTTTCATTGCCGCCTGTGATGGGAAATATTTACGGCAGAAACATATTCTCTTGGAAATTCTTCCAGCCACCGATGGACAATAAAGATCAAAAGGCATGCTACTGTAACTGTGATCGGGCAGTAAATTTGCAGTAAATTTCTGCAAAACTGCTGTACTCAAAAAAAAAACCACTACAATGTGGACATCCACTTTGTCCTAAACCCCCCCCCCCTTGTCCACTTTTTGCTGAACCCCCCCTCCCCCCTTTTGTGTGGACGTTTTTTATGGATGACCCTATTCATAGATTTAAATTAAATGTAAAAATGCAGAAGATTCACCCCCCACTGTAATAAGTCTATAAAAATCCTGAACTTGTATACAGCTGACAGCAATGACACCAAAGAATGAAACTTTCTGAGACAAAACATCAGCCTGTAAAAATAAACAAATTGTATGAGCGCAACGATTTTGGAATAAAATAGAAAAATCTCTAATCATGAAAATAATTAGTTTTCCAATTTCACTGTGATTTCATATGGCGCTTATAATGCGATGGTGCAGAAATATTTCTGTAGGATCAAGCCTCTGACCAAAACAGAAATAAAAATTTAAGAAGATGTTATCCATTAGGAAACTATACTATAATATAATGCAGACTGGCTATTGAAAGCAAGGACTGATGACAAAGTGTAAATAACACATAAGAGGAAATAATCAATTGTGTTTAATTAACAAAATTCTGGTTGACCTAAATTTTATTGTATCATTCCGTAGTGCTTAAAGAAAAATCCTTAATTATGATTGACTACAGCACTATAATAACTATTTTAGAATCAAATTAGTGATGTAAACTTTTGTAAAGAAGTTTTCTATAAAATAGCACTTAACATTATGTTTAGGAAATCTACTTACTTTCTTACAATTCAGATCTTTTCTCAAACACCTGAAATGAAACATTAAGAAGATTTTTTAAATGTATTGATAAATTGAAGAAAAAAATATATATTGCTGGCACACAGAAAATCTATTTTATTTAATTAATTTAACAAACCCCCATGAGGAGACCCTATTTGTTTGCAGATAACCTTCCAAAAGCTCTTCTAAAACATTTGTGCATTATTGCATGATCAGATAAATATAACCACTCAATTCACGAGGCAAAGATGTGGAATAAAGCTTAAAATTTCAGCATGGATCATCTTTTTTTATTGAACCTTGGCATAATGGTACTATATGAAGTATTTAAAACATAATCTCCTCATTCAATGTCCAGTTTTTCCAGTAATGGCTGTCAAGGAATGCTATTTGGTAATTTTAATTTATTTTTCATTAAATTAATAATAAGTGCGTACCATGCCTAGAACTCTGCATGTATTGAACATCCATTGGAAAGGGATATAGGTAATTATTATTATTTAATTTAACCCTTAGCGTATATAAAATGAGTAAAGCTAAATGCAGGCAATAATGCTTTAGCAAACATCCAGTATGATCAAGTAGTAATATAAATGTAACAAACATTAATACAGGTGGTGGCATCATAAAAACGATGTTTCCTGTTAATAATACGATGCAAACTTCCCACCACTCAAACAGAATATATTTATAATGGCAAAAACCTCAGATAAAACCCATACAAATGACAAAATGAAATGAGTAACAAATGTAAACAAATACTGAATGTCAAATTGACTTGGGAAACTGACAGAAGAAAGATATGATATTTATTTCTTTTAAGTTTGTCTCTACAAAATATATGCTTAAAATGAATGCTTATTACTGAATCAAATGAATGATTGATATGCCGGCACCACACTTTTTACAAAGTTTACACTTTTCTAACTATTCCTTGTCCGATTTCCAAATGAAAATAAGAGTTCAGAGTTTGACACTTGCAATAAACAATGATGGGATACCTGAACCTATTGCAGGTTTCCACAAATTTGAAGTTGATTGAGAAGCAGTTAGATAATGTTT